GAAAAACAGGGTAGATTTGCACACACATTTGTGCAAGCCACATGTGCTGCAAGGTTTAGGCTGCTACAGGTACGTAAAACAAGTGCTGACATGTCAGGCCCCAGCATAACCCTGTGCAGACTGGCCAGGCTGGAGAAGCTCCTTAAAATAGCATTTATAGTGCAAATGGTGACAAGTTCATCAGATGCCACTGTAATTACTGGTGCTTGCACAAAAGAGAACAGTCTAATGGATGCTGCCTTCTCACTAAAGTGTTCAGGGAGTCACAGCGTTTGAAGATCCTTAAAGAGCTTTTCTAGCAGCAAAAGGTGTAAAATGTCTGGGAGTCACAGAGAATTGAAAGAGAGAAGAAAATGATTTAATAAAGCGTCACAGACTGAAGGATCTCTGGGTTTAATGGTTAAAGTCTCCCATCACCTGAAGTGGGGCTTGATTTAGGCTCAAAAGAAGGAAAATTGGAAATCCCTTACAGAGGGAGGATTATTTGGTTCTGCTACACTTAAAACACCCAGTACTGCTGATTCAGGAGGCTGTGTCTCTTCGTTGAGGAGAAAGTGGGATGTATGCTGGCAGTGACCTGTCATCCCCTTTCCCATCAGCTCAGGAGCTGCTTGCTGTCACCCTGACCTTAGGAAGAGGGCATCATTAAGCTAAAGATGGGTTAGGACAGCTTGGCTGATGTTACTGTGGGCTAGCTTCTTCTAGATTGCAACAAGCAAAGTGTTCCCTAGTGTATGAAAGTACTGGGATGAGGATGCTGTTGAGAAATGCACTGTCCACGTGTGGTTTCTTTTAGAAGCCCACAGGACTCGAAGTACCAAATTAAAGCAAGGAGGGGATGATGTGTGTGGCCAAAAAAATGTCCCAGGCCATTTTGTGAGCATGCTTGCATTATTGCCAAATAGAGGCTGTAGCTACTCTGGATGGCATCACGTATGCCTGCAAACCTGAGCAGCTTTAGCTATAACCCAGAGTTCACAGTGGAGCAGATGACAGAATGGAAAATAAAAATGGTTGCAAGTCTCAGGCTGCTTCCCCTGGGGGCTGCTCGAGCCCCTGCTACAGAAGCAGGAGTGCTGCCTTGCAGGCTCTGGTCTGCACGGTGGGCAGGGGGGATTTTTCATCAGCTGGAATTGATCTAATTCCAAAGGCACCTCGAATCTGGTGCTTTAAAGTCTTACAAACTCCCTGGCTATAGGGTCTGTTCACAGACTTTAAACTGAGCACCTGCTTAGGAGCTTTGTGTGATCTCGCCTGCCTGGCAGAGCGGCAGCTCCTTTCCCAGACCAGTGCTGCCAGAGCACTTCAAGCTGGGGAGGTGGCTCTGGCCACTGGTGCTGAAGCTCTGCTGCACTTGGAGGGCCTGCCTAACGCAGTTTAGGGATCTGAAGCAATCAAGATCTTATGGCCTGTGTTCTTTCTACTCGTGGGAACATCGCTCCTTACAGCGCAGGTGGGGTCCTGGACCTTGTACTGGCCCACACGAGCCATCTCATCCCATACTCTCTGTCCATGGCTCTTCTGAGCCCATGACCCACCTACTCTTGCCAAAACCATGAGGTCTGGCATGTTGTGACACTAGTGAGTTTGGTGTCCTCTTACTGCCATTCATGTGGAGTGTAGGCTTGGGATACTCCTGCAAAACAGCTTTTGCCCAGAGGCTGTTGGCAGTCTGAAACAAACCCCAGATGTGCAGAATGCTAGACCTTCAAGGCTACTGCAGCAGAGATGCCTTGCCTGACTCTAAATGATCCCTTTTGTCTACCTGAGCCACACTAGCCGTGATAACATGGAGCTCAGTGCAGGTTGATAGTAAATTCAACCACATAGCTAATTGGGTTGCCTGCTTCCAGGTCCTGAAGCTGTAGTTTGCCTGGGGTCTCTGTACAGCATTGCAGTGTAGACATTTAGAAGCCGAGACACTTATTTAGGAATGAGAAGTCTAATTTGGGCCTGCCCTAATTGCTGGCATGAAATCCTTAGTTGTGTCATTAAACTATAAAGATCATCAATATGTTTTAATCTGACAAATAAAGATGCCTTGTGTTCAGGATGAGTCACAAATCTTTGAGTCAGGAGAAGCGAATGGATTGCAAGTAAATGGTGATAAATGAATAGATTGGAAAGCACAGCATTTTGATGTTGCTAATCAAATTGTCTAAAAGGATTGAAGTGATGCAAGGCTTTGATGGGTAATCCAAGACAGAGCTTTTTAACTAATGTTTTTCCTCTTTCTATACACAGACAACATTTCCTGTGACTCCATCGCTTGCAACAAGCCCCACGATGGCTTTTAGTCCCTACCTGAGTCATGTTTCTCCTGGGATGGGCTTGGTTCCTGCAGAGCTTTTACCAAATACTCCTGTCCTGGTTTCCGGAAATCCTACTGTTACAGTACCAGGAGGCTCTGCTGGGCAGAAACTGATGCGTACAGATAAACTGGAGGTATTTGGACGTCTGATACGATACTGCTGATGGGAATGAACAGGACATATGGTCCCAGCTGTTGCTCTCTGCTAGAATGACCTGGTGCAGCACAGTGCAGAGTTTAACTTGCAGCTTTCCTAACACAGGGGTGCTGCTGTCTGCTTGAGCAGACTCTCATGTGGGGCCTGATCCCAAATCCTTGGAAGTCACTGGAAATTTGGGAGCACTCTTCTGATTTCAGTGGGCGTTAGAGCAGGGCTGGGATTGTTGTTTTCTGTGTGTGATCTGCCACACTTAAAAAAAAAAAATGCAAGTCTGCCCTTTCACTGAATTGAATGGGAGACATTTTGGAAGTAACAGACGCTTTCCTTGTCTGGAGATGGACTTACTGAGCTTTTACAGAAAGCTTTAAGCATTACACTATTGGGAGTGGTGAGTATGGGGCATTGAAAAGACATCTTCTCCCCTCCCCCCCCCAGTTGGTTGGGCATGCTGGGACTTAGGGTTGGAGGAGCTGTAAATGTCTTTCAAGCCCTCAGCAGAGACTCTGCAGGAGTTAAGAGCTGAGAACATGAATTCAGAGGCCCCTGCAGGTGTAAATTATAACATAGGAAGGTAGTGGAGAAAGGTGTAATTTCAAAACACGTTGTTTTGGGTTATGTACTTTATATTGCCTTGCTGACATCTCACCTTTCCCCACACTCAGTCTGATAGTGCACTGGTACATGATCTATACCATCAGCTATAGTCCTCAACGATTTCTCTCTGAAACCTTGCAGATCTATTTTTGTGGAACCTTTTTCTCTGCCTTTGATGCTTCAGTGCTCATAACTTGCAAGGATCTGCAAGATCTTTGTAAAGCTAGCAATTTTGGCAAGACCTTATAAGCACATTGTGGTATAACAAATGCACTGTCTTGTAATACCAGGGTCAGAGTTTTATTGTGGAGGGGAGTGAGACTATGTGAAAGAGGCTCCTCATATTTAAGAAAAGGTACTTGTTGCAAATAACAACAGCATGCAACATTTAGAATTAAACATCCTACCCAAGAGTGTGCTCTGTAACAAATACATAATCCAGGTGAGACATAAATGGCAGATTTATGAACATTTAAGCTTTAGAGGCAGGGGAAGAATCCCGAGCTCCAAAAGTTTTGGCAAAACAACATTGGCTTCCTAGGGTCGCTTTCCATTCTGCACAAATTCTGTACTTCACTTGCATTTGGTAATTGGTCTTGGTAACATTGTGGGTTTTTTCATACCCTGAACCAGTTGCGAGTTGCCCTTGTGACTGTTGGTGTATGTGCTACCTAAGATGAGCATGGATTCAGAATACACATATGGCTTAATGTGGCCAACTGAACTGATATTCTATGTTGAAAATACTGAATGAAGAGTAACTTAATGTTCTGCTCAATAATGTGACTTTCTTTTAAGGTTTGTCGAGAGTTTCAGCGTGGAAATTGCACACGTGGTGAGAATGATTGCCGCTATGCTCACCCTATAGATATTGCAATGATAGACACAAATGAAAATACTGTTACAGTTTGCATGGATTACATCAAAGGTCGATGCTCTAGGGAGAAATGCAAGTACTTTCATCCCCCTGCACACCTGCAAGCCAAAATCAAGGCAGCTCAACACCAGGTGAACCAGACAGCTGCAGCTGCAATGGTAAGTAGAGCTCTTCTCAAGCTGTATTTCCATTGCAAAGAGATTTCATTTGTATCTTATGTGTTGTTTGTGGGAAAGTAGACTGCTTTGTAAATGGCTGACTAGAGAGCTGAGAGCATGTGCAATACGAATCCTATCTCTTCATCCTTTCTATGTGCTCACCATAGCATGAAGCCCTGAGTAGCACAGTACGTCTTGCCGGTTAGGGACATGGTGGCGAACCCTGTGATTTTCTGACGTGACATCGTGATGTGACTTGAACACAAGTACAGGAGCACTTGGAACCAACACCTTCCCTGGCCAAGTCATAGGTGTCAGTTTAGCTTCCTCAGTACACAATGAAAGCAAAGACCACCCATCCCATAATACATCCTTTGCAGGGAGAACTGGCCTGTTGGAAGTTGGTAGCAAAATTTTCACTGACTTAAAAGCAGACCAGGTATCAGTTGTTTGAGCTTAGCAAAGTCATGCCTGATACCTTTGCCAAGGCTTAGTGAAATGATGAGACTCAAACCAAGGGTAACTTCCTGACGCGTGTGATACTTTGGACTTGGTAAAGATGGTCCCACCTGCTTTTTAATTTGAATTGTGATTTCTAATACCTACAATTCTAAACGAGTCAAGGAAGACTTACCAGATGAAATTCCTAGCTGGAGTAATGTTTGCTGTTCTGTTGAACTCGGTTTAACAGCACCTATTTATTCCAGAGATGAGAGAGCTGGGATGTTCAGCCTGAGGAGGGAAGAAGAGGCCCAGGGGGATCTTAACTGTGTCTATAAATTCCTGATGGGAGAAGTAAAGAAGACAGAGGCAGACTCTTCGCTGTGGTGCCCAGTGAAAGAACAAGAGGCAGTGGGGACAAATTGAATTCAGGAAATTCCATTTAAGCATAAGAAAAAGCTTATTTACCATGAAGGTGATCAGACACTGCAACAGGTTGCTCCATCCTTGGAGATACTCACAACCTACCTGGATGCAGCCCTGAGCAAGCTGCTGTAGTTGAGCCTGCTTTGAGCAGGTCTAGACAATCTCCAGAGGTCACTTCCAAGCTCATCTGTTCTAATATTTTTATAATTTTTTTTTATAACTAATATTAAAAAGGTTTTTGCCTCCTTTTTGGTGTAGAAGTAAGCCTACTACATTTTTTCTAAATACCTTTTTTTTTTTTTTTTTTTTTGCAAAAGAGGTTGTTTTTCATTCATAGTGAAATATAATGCAAAACCAGGACAATTCTAGATCCTTGTGGCATCAGTATTACCTGGAATGTAATCTGAAGAACCAGTTTACACTGCAGTATTTATTTGTCCTGCAGAGTTTATTTATTAGATTTCTTACTATTTTTGTTATTCTTGAAACAAGGGCCCAGGTCTGTTGAAAAAGACCCTCCTGAAATGAAAGTCTTGTGGCTTTTACAATTGAATCTTTACTTTTTCACTAATTATCTAGGACACTGCTGCTTAACCAATGCCAATGCATGTTTTATTCATGCTGCTGGCTTCTCTTAAAAATGTAATTAACCTTATTTGTGTGCTGTTAACTAGAACCTTTAAAATATTTATTGATTGCTTGTTGCATCACCCCTGCTACCAAAACAGCTTACATTATTCGTTGACTTTTCAGGGTTTGATGCATTTACTGTACCTGTTGAGGAATGAGACTTTAGTAAAGGAAAGAATGGTGCCCAGTTTTCTTGGATCAAAAAACATATGCCAGACAAATGGGTGCGCCTTCTAAAATAGAGTTGGAATGACTTCAAATCTAAATTCAGAAGATATTTCTGAGGGACCCAATCCTGCAGTTACTTGATATGCACAAGTAGTAGGTTTATTCACTCCTGCTTGGCTGAAGTCGGTGCAGCACAGTCAGATGGACTGCATCAGGCTCGGTCCCCAGTTCAGGATGGCACTGCACGTGCTTGAACCTCCCTTCACCAGTGGTCCTTCCCTTGGCACAGACAATCCTGCTGACCTCTGCATGGCATGTAGCTGCAGAATTAGGGCTGAAGCCCAGTGCAAGTCCACTTGTAGGTGCTAAATCCCCGAGTGCTTCTGACCCGCTGTGCCAGCCACCATGAAGATGCTCTAAAGCATGTGTCCCTTGATGACATTTCTTTTGCTTTTAAAACTCACTGAGGCAAAACAGCTGACTAGCTGCTAGGCCAGGTAATTACTCAGCCACCCCACGTTGTGCATGCCTCGTCTTTTTAATATATTGTATAATGCATTCACTTTTTTTTTCTTCACCTCCCCAAAATGTTGCTCTCTCTTGACACACCTCTGCTTGCTGTTTTTGTTACTGTGCTTGACCCCCCCTCCCTGGCCCATTGCCATCATGTGCTCGCTGCCTGCTAATTAAGACTCAGCCAGCTGTCAGATCACTGAAGCGACCGCTCGAGGCAACCTTTGACCTGGTACTTGGACCTTTCACCTTCTCGCTTTGCACGTAACCATCTTAGTCTGCATGAAAGCCTTCTGCGCTTGGTCTGTTGTGTTAGTGCCTGGGGAGACTGCCCATCTCAGCCAGAAATGTTGCAGTGTGCGTTCAGACATGCCAATCCTGCGCCCGACACAGCATCCATTAACCCAATGAGCTTTGCCTCCTGAAGCCTGAATGTGTTTTGGAGGCAGTGAATAATCTTGGGGGGAGGCAGCTCAGGGTTTTGAAGTGTTTTTCCAAGCAGCATCAACTTTGGAATCACGAAACACGATGTTTCGGTGAGAATTTAACTCATTAGGTCTGCAGTGTGCTGGATATGCCAGAGGACTGGGTGTGGTGCAGGACAGATCCAGCAACTTTTTGTGGTATGCCCAACAGCACAGCCTTGCCTGGCAGTGTCGTGCTGGTACTGCCCTGCAGAAGGGTGTTCTGTGCAATGTGCTCAACTCAGATTTAGGAGGGAGAGAGCTAAGCAACACCTGTAGAGATCTGTGCTGGGAACTGAAGCAGGTGCAGTGCAGGACTTTGGCTGCATGTTCAGGAAGCTGGGGAGGTGGCTGCCACTACAGCTGGCTCTGTCTCTGATTCCTCCCCCCCATACCTCAGTGGAACAGTGTCAGCAAAGGCACCTCGCTCTGGTGGGTGCCTTTTGCTTCAGTCTCAGGCACAGGATCTGCTCCCCAGGCTTCTGTCTGCAAGCTGCCTTCATATAAGCTACCTTTATTTCCTGAGTCTCAAATATGTTTTACCTGTTTTCGTGCACTCATAGCAAGACAAAGGCTATCCTCCCAGTCTGCTGGCAGTCCTGGCTCCATAGAAGACAACTCCTTTGTGTTCACTCCAAATAATGAGGGATCTATTACATCCTAAAAAAAAA